ATATTTGTATATTGAAAGATTAGCAGCAAAGAAAAATTGTGTTGTTTTGCTAAGGAATCAGCCATATTATTAAAAGTATTGTCTGTGTAAGCCTAAACTTTGTAGAAATTAATATTTAAGTTAAAGGATTTAATGATATTAAGAAGAGTATGCCATAGAGGCCATGTATTAAATTTAAAAAGTTTGTTAGAATTATTGAGTTGAAAGTTTGTAGAATTTTGAGATAACTAATTGTAAATTAGTATAGATTTGAAGAGTTGCATTATGAGGTACAGTTGAGATTGCTGATAAGATAGAAAAGAGCTCTGCCTTATAAGCTAATTGTCAGTGGTAGATTTTAGCTAAAAATTTATAAAGTACTTAATCATTATTGTTAACTTGAACCCATCCAATGGCCATTGAGCTTTGTTTGGTTCCAACATCAATTACTGATTCATCTGTATAAAAATAAATTCTTTATATGATAAATTGTTTTGAAAAATTTCTTCAAGTTTGTTTAAACAGTTATTAGGTTTAAAGATTTCTGTGATGGTTGAGTTTAATATATTGATAGTAGGATGATTGTCAGAAATTCGTAAAGATGTTTAATTGCTATTGAATAGATAAAATCCAGATAATTAGCATTAAATTTGAGTTTGGAGGTTTTTCTTCCTAGAAAACTAGTACAAATAGTTGCTAAAATGTTAATTGTGCATATTTGGTTAATTCTGTTTAAGTTAAAATGACATCTAGTGCATGGTGTACAGTTCAGTTCTGGAAGTGGATAGTAGTAATTGTGTTCTAAATCAATATTAGTATTCCAATGTGATATAGAAAACTGGGTTGTGTTTGAGAGATATTTGCAAATTTTGCCAATAATGATCTTATTGTTATCATTATTGTAGATAAGTAGCCAAAGTTTGAGTTTTTTCTTGATTAGTAGAATGTTATATGCAAAGGCATTAACTTCAAGAGGTTGAAAGTGAGGGAGAATTAAGTAGTGTGATCTATCAGATAGGATTGTGTCTTCCAGATAGGTGAACCAAGTAGGTTGCCTTTCTTTTATTAGATAACGAAGTCTTGATAAGTATATAAAGTATATAAGAGAGGAAATTAGTGATCTATTAAATAATACAAACAAAAAAAAAATGCTATTACTTTATTAATATATTATGTAAACAAATTTCAAGAGTAGCAAGTTCCATGAGAATGATAAAGATAATAATCCCATTTTTAATAATTGAGCTTCCACAAGATGGTTAAAAATTCTGCCTAAAATCAGTAAAGCTTCAATCTGTTTTCCTAAGATGTTTGTTTTAACATCTTATTATCAAGAGTTTGAAGCTTATAGATACTATTTCTGAGGATGTTATAAACATAAAAAGGGCCTTTTTATTTTTTTTCTAATTTGTCTTTATATGTACCTTTCAAAGATAAATGATAACAAAGGACCTGATTATCAATAGAGTAACTTTTAATTAAATAAAGCTAATTATGTCTATTTTTTAACCACTTCTGAAAGAGGATTATTTTTTCTCAAGCTTGAATTTGAGCTTAAAGTAGATCTCTTAACAGAGCTTTTACTCTTCTAAAGATATTATTTTGCAACTCTTGTTCACTAATCAGGGGGTACTTAAGAGTTAATTGACTAACGACATCTGGCAGAGTAGCATCTCTTTTGTATAGTAGGAAAAAGAATCATAGTAGGTAATAAAGTGTTTAGTAGTGCAATAGACAAACAAGGCAGAAGAAATGTACCAATTCCATTTTTCTAAAAACTGTATAATGCATTTTAAAAAGACTTCAAATAAAGTCTGATTGATGTGTTTAACTAAACTGTTAATCTTTAAGTGATAGCTAGAAGAAAACCTATGATCTATCTACAATTAGATGCAGATAGAACTGATAAGCTGATTTATAAAATGCCTTCCTTGGTATAATAGGAGTTCATAAGGGCTTCCATGTTAGTATAGAATATCCTCAATGAAGAAAGAGGTGACTAATGTGACTAAAGCATCTGAAATAGCATATGCCTCTGGCCATCTAGTAAGATACTTCGTGGTGTCTACTATATAATAATTTTTAGATTTCATGAGAGTTAAGAGGCCCATAATGTTGATATCAACTCTGTTAAAAGGTTGACCTATCTTAATAGAATATAATGGTTCATAAGTTCAAGGTTTTCCTCTACATTGATAGGCATTATATAATCTGATATATTGTTTAACATTTTCACTTATCTGTAGCCAAAAATATCAGACAGATATATGCTAAAGATGAACTGGACATTAAAATGTTCTGATAAAGAATTAGAGTGCATACTGAAAAGAATAGATTTAATTTTATAGATTAATAGCACTCTTAGTAATTAATAAGATGATTGACAATATCACTTATATAATGTGTTATTAATAATAACAAAATGCTAAGTTTGTTGTTTTAAACAATTTTTTTGTTAGGATTGTAATTCAAGCCTATAGTCAGAGTTGTTAAGATATTTCAAATATGTTTAATATTGATTAGGATTTATTGTGAGATATAAGTTGATATAAATGTTTAATAAAGTCAAAAGATTAAAGTAAAAATAGTATATAATAGGATGCAAAAATACAGCTAGTCAGAATTGAACAGATTTATTGAAGTAAAAGCAAGAGTTTTGTTCAAAATTTTTGGTTATATCAAAAAGACATTTACAAGCATAATGGCTCAGCTAATAACAATAGCAACAAATAAAGTGATTAGAGTTTCTAGATTTAGAAATAAGAAAATTGGTAAGTTAGGAAAGACTATTAGTATTTTAATAGTATTTTTCTAGATGATGTTTGATAATGAAATTATATTCTTATAAAGCTAAAACCCATCAAGCTAAACCACCTTTGGGCAATTAATGTTTTAGTAAAGATTTAAGAGCTAAATGTCTATAATGAGAGTAAATTGGAACCTATAAAGATACTGTTGAAAGTAAGCAACTGACCAAACAACAGCAAGGCACTTTTGTTTAGTGACAGAATAATTTTTTTCAGGTGAAGTCATCATTTAACTAGTATAGCAAATGATCTGTTCTCTTCTTTAAAGATCCTTTTGTGAGAAAATAGCTTCTAGGGTAATATCTGATATATTAGTAACAAAAAAAAATTTTTTGAAAAGCTAGAATAAGCTAAAACAGGCTCTATAATGAGTTTGTTCTTAAGAAAATTAAATGCAGTTTCTTGTTCCTTGGTCTACACATATCTAATATTCTTTTTGAGCAGTTGATAAAGAGGGGCAGCAATCTTAGAAAACTCATAATAAATTAATGATAATAGGAAGTAAGTTCTATGAATCCACATAATTAGCAGAAGATAATAGGAGTAAGAAAATTTCTAACAATATTCACCTTTTTTGGGTCAGTAAAGATACTATCTAAACTAACTATATAATTAAAAAACTTAAGCTCATTTTTGGCAAAATAGTATTTCTTGGAATTTAACTTGAGCCTAGTATTTTGAAAACAGTTAAAAACCTCTGCAATATGTTGAATGTATTCATCAAATATAAAGAAATAAATATTGATGTCATTTAAGTAGACAACTATAAATTTTCTAAGTGCCCTTTAGAAAATTCTATCTATAAGCTTTTGAAATGTAGCAGAGATGTTTGTGAAGCCAAAAAGTATTATATTAAACTCAAAAGTGCTGAATTGAGATATAAATACAGTTTTTTTCTTATCAAATAGACTCATTATGATCTGCCAATAGTTACTAGTGAGGTCAAGAGATGTATACCAAGAAGAATATCAAAGGGTGTCTAATAAGTCATCAATTTGTAATAGTGAGTAACTATCTTTTTTTATAATAGCATTAAGTTATTAATAATTAACACAATATCTTGTCCTTTTATGCTATTTGACAAGTACAATAGGTGAAACTCATGAGTTATAAAAGAGTTAAATAATATTATTTTGAAGCATTTTATTGATTCCTTTTTTCAGAAATTTCTATTCCTTAGGAGAAGTATAATAATATCTTTGTTTAACAGAAAAGGCATCATCTGTGTAAACACAATAGATAATAAAATTAGTACAGCCCAGATTCTGAAAAAACTATGCAAAAAGATCATCATATCCTACTAGCAACTCTTCTAGTTTGTCATAATTATCATCTTACAATTCTTTTATATCCAACTCCTAAGTGGGTTCTTCAACTTTGTCAAAAAAGAATTCATAATTTAGTTTCTACTCATCACTAGCAAGATCAGAAAGACTCTTATCTTCTTCTTGTAAATACTCATTATTACTGTTCATATTTCACCAAACATTCCCCACACTCAGGCCTTCAGGATGAACATTATACTGTGAGGTTACAAACTCATTGTCAGAATCATAACTCATCTTAGACTTATTATCACACATATACTAAAAAATCCTCTGTTTGTTCTTAGAGAATTCAAAGAGTCGGTCCTCTAATTCTTCTTCTTTGTAATTAGAATTAGATTCTCTTTTTGGCTATCAGAACTTTCAAGATCATCCTTAACAGTCAGTTGAGTCTTGGTGACCTTTGGTAAATGTTCTTTCTGAATAGAAGTATGCTGTAATTTTCTAAATTCGATATGTATAACAACTTCTTGATTTTTCTATTGGAAGATTATTTCAGAAGTGTTGTAATCAATATTGGTGTTAACTTTAGAAAGCAGTTATTCCACATAATAGCTTAATATGATAGAGTGTCTGTTACTACTATATTAACAGAAACTACTACATCTCATACTAAGAAAGGAAACTTTGAAATTTCACAATAGCTCTCTTGCTTTGACCATGAGCATTAATCATGTTTACTGTTAAGGGCCTCTCTACTTTAATATTTAATTTGCTAAGCAAGTAAGATGACACAATACTTTCAGACAAACTGATATTGATAATAAGAGAAATTACTCTATTAAGAACCATAGTATTACAGTATAGGGCAGTAGATTTAGAGGTTATCTGAAGGTTAACAAAAGTACAAACTCACTTCTTAGAAACCTTTGTTTTTCAGAGACTCTTGGCTAGGACTGTATAAAAAGAGAAGACTACTGTAATAGCTGTCCAAGTGTAATGTTGGCAGGTTTGTTGCAAATATTAGCAATAATGGAATATTAGAGAATCAAAGTAGAAATTTAAGGGAGGTTGTCTTCAGCTTTTCTTTTTCTAACTAGAACCATTTTTGCCTCTTTATATGATTTGGATCTTCTAGTAGTCTTCTTCTTGAACATTTTTTTATTATCAGCAAAAGTTTTTATTTCATTGGCAGGTTTATTAAATACTTGTTTCTCAGTCTATCATCTTTTATTACAAGCAGAACCAGAGGGTCTTTCAGACTCTTTTGTAGAAAAAAACAAAAGGCCATCTTTATCAAGATAGAGATTCAAAAAGTTTGCATCTTAGTTTCTTCATTTTAAATTGGAGTGCTCTGGTTGTTAATAGGTGTAGCATTATTTCAGGTAGTATTAGTCTGTCTGAGAGGAATGACATTACTTCCTATAGCTGCTATGTCAGAATTATTCTAAGGCAAAGAGTTGGAGCAATTCTAAGTAAAGTGTCCTACTTGTTTACAACAGTTTACAAGTAGTATAAAGAGTTATTCTAATTTGATTAATTGCATCTAGGTGGTTTTTTCTGCTCTTAAAGCTTTGTTATTACTGTAGCTAATGCCTCAGTTATCTTAATAAAAACCTCTTTAGTTTTGGAAGAAGGCACTGTTAGAGGGTTAACAGGACTAACTACAAGGGAATGTGATAAACTAGGTTGTATAACAGAATATTAAGAAACCTAAAGGTATAATATTAAATATAGGTTATAGAAAAAGGAGTTTTGTTTAAAAGAATTTTTAAAGACCTTGGCACATTCATAGGTGGCTAAAATGTGTTAGACATAAAAGAGACAATAGCAGTAGAAAGCTCAGGTCTAAAACTGTTAATAAACATTTAAGCTTTAGCTATGCTTGGGTAATGATGGCCTCCTGATTCAACATGCCTAAAAAGCTCTTTAATAGACACATAGTAAAAGTTAATATCTTCAGTAGACTTTTGCTTCTACTAAATCAATTGGGCAAACCATTTGTTCTCAAGAGTAGGAGTTCAGAAATGGGCAATAAAGTGAGGACAAAAACTTTGTTCTCTATTATAAGGATCACTTTATCAGTCAATAAGAGGTCATATTGCCTTAGCAGCAATCTACCAAATGGCTGCTGTGTCTTTTAAATAGTGAATAATTATTGAAATCTTTTGGTTATTTTGAACTTGATTGGCTTTCAATGTCTTCTCAATATCTTTCAACTAGGTAATAGAATCTTGTTTAATACTAGAAAAGTCAGAATAAGAAACCAGGTTGAGTTTACAATTCTGTACAAAGAAATTGATTTGTGAGACAGGAGTATACAGCATTTGAAAAAAAAGATTCCTGATTTGGTAAGCCAGAATTGTCATAGAGTCATTTTGAAGGTTTGGCTAGTTATTTAGGAATACAGGCTGTTGTTAATCATCATTATTAGAATTAATTAAAAAAGAAACCTGGAGGTGATGGTTGCCTTAAGTCATAATGTCTTCTGCAAAAGTATTGCTATTGTTATAGGTTTCATCAAAAGTATTGGAGTCAAATTTATCAGTTTCCTAATAAGCAGTCAAAAATTTATTTATTAGCATAGGAATATTGTCAGAATGATTATTATATCAGAAGCTAAAGATGAAAGAACTCAAAAATCTGTCTAGAATCTTCTCTATATTAAATTTACTAAGCTTTTCAAATTAGCATATCACATATTAAAAAAAAGAAACAGTTAACTAAAAAGTACTAAACCAAATCCAAAATCTTTAAAACTGTAATGAAAGAACCTCTGAAGGATAACAAACTGAACAAAAGTTATCTTGATAATATTATATAAGATAGTTAATCACTTAAGGGTTTTTCCAAATAGATAGTAGTGATGGTCATGTTCACTAGTATTTCTAGAATATTGTTCAAAATTATTTATGTGATCCTAAAATCTGATAGCATGATATTTCACACAATTGAACCAAATGTTACTATCAGATGTCAGAAGAGCATCAGTAAGGACCAGTTTTAGGTCAGTAATAGTAAACTAAATAGGCTGTATAGTATAAATAAGGACAACAATAGGTAAATGTATATGCAAGATATTGATAATAGATGAGAGATCAGAAGTAATAGTCTTAATAATTTAAGTATAGTGATATCATTAAGAAAGATATGAATTAAGTTAGAGGTTAATTTATATAACTGTAAAAATATATTCATGATAGGACAACAATACAATAAAAGAATTTAACATTTATAGAAATAATTTTATAAATATCAAATAAGATCAAGATCTGACTTTATTAACAAACTAAAATAAGATTTTTAAATACAGAATTCACTACATATAAATTGTTTAAACTATTCTATTGATGGCAATACTTCCTCTTTCTTTTATTGATTATACACTTTCTGTAAAACCCTTCCATCTATCCCTTATGTTTAAACATCAAGATGTCATTATTGATATAGTCATCTTCAACTACAATACAGCATGTTAATAATAAGTAAATGCTGTTTGTTTACAAAAATCTTTAATATTGTCAGATAATCTTTTACCTATGGCCTTGTCAAATAAAAATGACAATACAACTCTTCAATAAAACTATGCATATAAACAACTATAATATTAAAAATGCAGAATAATTTTAATTTGTGTTTACAATATTGAACAATCTCATGTCTATGAATAACTATATATGGAAATGATACTACATTATATATACAAGATATAAAATAGGAAATTAACTATATAGAATATATAAAATAGAAAATTGAGTATATAAAGTATATGAAAGAGGAAATCAGTGATCCATTAAGTAATACAAACAAAAAAAGAAATCATTGTTACTTTATTAATATATCATATGATTGAATTTTGAGAGCAGCAAGTACTATGAGAATGATGAAGGTAATACCAGATTTAAATTTAAATCCAGATTTATATAATAAATTCGGATTTAAATTTAATCTGGATATATATTTTCAAAAATTGAATTCAGATTTACAGCTGTTATCATAAATTCTGGAACATCTAGCAAAAATTAGCGAATAATTTTTTGGCCGATCCAGTTAAGTAATTAATTTTGGAGTATTCAGTATAATGATAATATAGACCAGGGTAAAATTGGCACACAAAAAAGTTTTATACATTACATAACTAATATATCGAGCACTAAAAATTTATGTAACTTATATAAACAAAAATTTAGACTAACAAAATAATATCGATAAGCAATAAATTAATTATTTTATTTATTCAATAAATGTACATTCAGAAAGTATTATAATTAATAGTTTTTCTAAGTATTTGGAATATTCCATTACTTTTTAAAATGAGTATAATTCTTCAGATTATGTAATGACACAAAATTTTTATTAATATTATCAAGCCATTTGTTACTATTTGTGATCATTATGTTTTATTGTTGCATTCTGAATTCAGGATTTTTTAATGCAATTGTATTTTCTTGATTAGTTTTTATGATTTTATTTCAGGTTTCATTCTTTTTATATTTATTATTAGTGAAATTTGGTTATATATATTTTATAATAATGTGTTTATTGGATTTTATGTTTTTAACAATCGCTTTTCACTTTGAAGTATCAAAGAAAAAAAATTACTACATATATTAATATTTAATGATTAATGATTTGACAATATTACATGATTTTTAAAACTTTTTTGAATGGTGATTTTTATCTTGGTATATATTATCGTTATACTGAATACTGCTAAAATTATTACTTAATCAGATTGGCCAAAAAATCATTCAGCTAATTTTTGTCAGGTGTTTCAGAATTTATAATAACAGCTGTAAATAAATCCAGTTTGATCCGGTATTACAATCTGAGAAAAGACTTTTCTATTCCTGTTACTGAATTGTAATTTTAGACTGTGAGCATAAGAACTTTAATTCTATTACTTATCATAAAACTATTCTTGAAAGAACTAGAGTTTATTGAATAGCACAGAGATTCTAATTATTGCAATAACACTTTATTTATCAAATGCATGAGGTTTATGTTAGTAGATTAATTATTAAGGATTTGCCAATTATTATTGTAATGAATGTATTTATTATTATCATTGTTAGCAATTATTATTTTATTATTGTCTTTCAAGCTTATATATTGAATAATAAATAATCAATATTTTTCGTTCTCCTCACAGGGTTCTTTAAATATACTTTTCATACATATATAAGAAAAATAAAGTTATTCTATAATCATTATTATGAAAATAATTGTAATGTTGCTGTAATGTTGCTAAAATGTGATAATGGGAATAAATCTAAAAATATAGCATGAAAATCAATAATGAGAAAAAAATAAAATAAAAGTGAAGGGAAATGTAGTAATAGTAAAGTAATTGGACTGGGTAACCATACAATTACCAAAATGTAGTTATCAGAACTGGGTATCTGTATAATACAGTAATTTGGAACCTGGGTAACATCAAAGTTAAAAATTTCCTGTGACACAGGATATAAATATAAATCCAGATTCTAATATTAACTCTAAGTTGAATATTACCCAGATTATCTGCAGATAATCGGATATCCAGGTTGTAAACTCAGCTACTCGAGTAAATATACCTGGGTAAACATAGAATTTACTAATTTTCTTTACCATTTCTATTGGCTGTACTAATTATTCAATTATTGGAGTATTTACATTAGTAATTAAAAAATTTTTAAATAAAAATTTGCACTGTTAGACTAGAATTAATATTTGGCATTATATTATAATTATAAGACATTTCTTATACCAAAATTTTACAAGAAAAAATTTTTATTAGTGCATAGAAGATGGTTTCATATATTGAATTTAGAGTTATGAGTAATTTTTAATTTTTGCATTTCTTTTACATTACATCTGATCGTAAAATTGGATTGGCTCCAATAAATGAATAATTAGTACAGCCAATCAGAAGTGGTGGTGAAAAATTAGAGCATTTAGTAGACATAAAAGTTTGAATATTTATATAGATTATCCAAGCTAACTAAATCTAAATGTAAATAAACTAATAATAAGGCTGCTTGCAGTTGATTCTTTGGTTAATGTTACCCTCCCATTGAAGCCTCCCTCCAAAAAATGAACAGCCAATCAGAATGCTAGATAACTCTTAACAATCACTTGATTTACATCGACCAATGAAATTGGCCCATATCTGTTCATTTTTATGTTCATTTCATTTTACTTAGGAATGGATAGATCCTGAAAAGACTGAATAAGAATCTGGCTTTTAACTGATCCCATGATTAACCGGTCTGAGCCAACCCTTTAGCATAACTACAATGATCAGTTATTTAATCACTGTAGTCTGAGATTTTATTTAACCAGATCTCATAACCTGACTTAAAAATTATTGTCATTATTATTAATATAAAATACAAAGTTACTATTATTATTATTAATAATATAAAATTTTTTATTGTATAAAAAAAAATGTTTATTCAAAATTTACCTAACTTATATAATATATCATAAATGTTCATCAATTTAAGTTTACTAATAAAAAAAAAAAAGCATTTTATTTTAGGTTCTTGGAGGTTTTTTGCTTGGTTCAGATTCTTTATGTCTTCTATTATCTTTTGAATTGATGTGAAATTGATTCAATATTTGGTTGCAGAAGGCTATAAAACTTTTCAAAAAGGTCAAGCACCTATATTAAAATAGTATTGAGATCAAATTTAGATATTTTTATTTATAATTTAATTTAATAAAAACAATAAATAAGTTATTTGTCATAACAAATTTTTTTGTATTGATCTATAATTTTCAAATTGATTTCTTCTTCACTTAGTTGTCATCTTTTATAATAATATTATCATTATTGAGAACTGTTGAAGTAATAGTTATAGAAGTCATGCACTATCAAATAATATGTAAATTTTCTTCCAATGGTCTTTTTAGCTTTTTCAGTTAATAGGATAATATGAATTTCATTAAAAGTTATATATATTTCTATATACAAATAATATAAAGATACTGTAAACTTTCAAATCTTTCTGAAAAATGAAGTTGTTATATTTTCTAAGATGCTTCTATATTACATGTTTAGAATTATTTAAACTTTTTGTCTTTTTTTCAAATTTTTGATAGCAATTGCATTAATAAGTGAACAATAAAATGCTTCTTATGATAAACATAAAAATATCTGTTATCTTTCTATAATGATTCATAATCTGAATCATAATCATTATTAAGTTTGCATTTGATTCATCAATATTTTCTAATTTTATCAATTTAATTTGAAAGATTTATAATTGCATAAGATCTATTCATGCACTTTTTTTTTTATATTATTCATAAGTTATTTATAAATTACATCTTCGATATCTTTAGGTTCTATAACACTTTCTTGCAATTTATAAATATTATTCATATTTTGCTTTTGACATTTATGTTTTTTGCTTTTATTTATATAGGTTAAGCATTTGATATATATTTTTTTATTGGTTTCAAATTTATTTTTATTATTTGACAAACAACTATTTTTTTAAATCCAATTAGGTTAAATAGTCAGATTCCATTAATAAACATATAGTGAAAAATTTTTAAACAGCATTCTGTAATAAAATAATAATTTGTAAAGAGAAGTACTTAAATAATTGATTTTTCTAATTATTCCAATAAAAAATTTAGACAATAAACATAACTCTATTAAAAAAAGATGTCTGGGCTTCTATTTTTTGTTAATTGAAATAATGAAAAAAGAATATTTGGGCCTTTATTTCTTGTCAATTTTTTGGAATAATAAATATGCTTGATCAGTTGAAGGATCTTCTGCTAATGAAATTTTTCTATTATATTAAACTATCATCATATGATTTATTTATTAAAATAATAAATTTAATTGATTTATTAAACTATTTTTTTTACTAAATAAATTTGTTCTCAGATCTGTTTTGACAGATTGACTTAGGTGCTTGAGAAAACTTAATAGACCTGATGCATACTTTTATTATTAAAATTTTTTAAATATAGACCTGCTTGTAAAGTCCTCTATTGTCAAAGGTCTTAAATCATTAAGTGTAGTTTGAGGTCATGCATTTGAGTTAAAATGAATAATATATTTAATGCATGTCATACTATCCATGAAAATGCAAAAATTAAATTATATTTAATTTTTTTTTTATTTTTGTATAATAAAATTATGACTCAATTATCATACAATATGATCTAATAAAAGTGTTCCAAAAAAATTAAGAATTGTTCTTTTTTTTTTAACTTCATCTCTTTTAAATTGTAACAGTTAAATCATAATAGTTATACATTGTTTTAATAATTGTAATATGTTCAAATAATTAATTTCTGATCTTTACTCAAGAAGACAATGAGTATTAATTCTTTGGATTCTGTAATTGATAAGGATAATAGTGAATGTGAGGAAAGTGATTCATCAACGAGTACCTATTCAGATAATTATATAAATTCACAATTTCAAAAAAAATATAAAAAACCCTCAACTGTTGGAAATATTTTAAAAAAATTAAAAAGTCTAAAAAATGGAAATGTAAAATATACCTATCAAAATACAGAAAGAACACCAGTACCTCAACATTAAGGTGATACCTTGAAGTGCATAATATTATTGTACTAATAGAAAAAAAATAAGTCTGCAGTTAAAGATCATTATATTCCTTATTTAGCAGAAGAATAGTGAAAACATAATGATGCTATAACAAAATGGATATTATGTGATTTACAACCCTTTACTGTTATTGAATGCAAAGAATGGTAGGATATAATTAAAAAATTTGATCCATGTTATCAATTTCATAATTGTTATACAGAAAAAAATCATGTTATAACTCTATTTGAAAATAAAAGAGAGAAAATAAAATTAGTACTCTTACAAATTCTTGGAAAAGTGTTGTTCACCTCTAATATGTGGATTGCATTAAACAGTGCTGCATTCCTTAGTCTAACAATTCATTTTGTTGATTCTTCTTGGAAACTAAATAGTTTTCTTCTAGATATTATTTCAATAGAAGTACATCATACAGGTTTCAACATAGCTAATGCAATAATAAACATCCTTCATTAATTCAGTTTGAAAAAAATTTTAACCCTTATTACTGACAATGCTTCATCAATAATCGTATATCGTGAACTTATAATGAAGAAACTTGAGAAAGAATTTAATAATTTTGAATTTTTGCATTATAGATATGTTGCCTATATTTTAAATCTTGTAATTAGTTGGAGGTTTAAGCATATGGATAAATCAATTTCAAAATTAAGAACATTGATGTCATATATTAGATCATCAAAACCAGCAAACAATGCTTTAAAACACTTTTGTAATATAAAAGGTATTCCCTACCTGGTACCTAAAATTGATATAAAGACAAGGTGGAATTCCACCTACTATATGCTAATAAAGTAGAAAAAATTAGAGTCTGTATTAAATTTACCTGTAGCTGATGATCATGTAGTAAAAGAAAAGTATTTGAATGCAGAAGACCTTAATAATATTAATGTAAATATATTGTTTTTACCTTATTAAAAAAATATATATATATATATATATATATATATATAATTTATATATATATATACTTCTTTTTTCTTTTTTAAAAAGAATACAATTATGCTTTTTGAGCCAATAGAACTTGCAACTTGTTTTTTATCTGCATCAAACTACCTAATACATGAAGATGTTTGATTTGTTGTTCTTGGAATTTATAAGCATTTATCTCAATATAAAGATGTTACTAATTTCTCTAAAACTCAAATATATCAAAAATTGGAAAGGTACTAGTCAATTCTTGGTGATTCTTCTCAAATATCAGCATTTCTTGATCCATGTATAAAAATCTCTGTATTCAAAACAGAAAATGAAAAAAATAAAATAGTTGATTTAATTTCTGGATTAAATGAATATATATCTGAAACAACTCAACAAATAGCTTTTGCTAATAATTCAAATAATGATAAAAATTACTTTTGTAACCTATATACTCTTAATACATCTTTTTTTTTATATATAATCTACTTTTCACAAATTGTATACATGAGGAAATTAAAGAA